TTAAGTCTTTTTATTGGACACAAATACGAACAATAAACCAGATCAACAAATCTGATTTCTGACAGTGAAACATGAGAGTTTGTTTGTCTGTGTCGTTCAGCTCTGGAGTAAAATCTTTAGTTATTTGAAGTTGAATGACGTGAACACACCCGACCGCACCGCGTTTCCTTTTATGAAACGCTGAAGCTCAGAGTTTCACTTCCTCTTTTCGCTGCAGTACACGTTCTTCTCCACCAGACGGCGCCTTTACTCCGACACAGAGCGACACCCTGAGGCCTCGTCCACGTCACGACTCGACCGACGGACGGAGGGACGACACACGGCCCCGGGAGGAGCACGGTGTCCTGTTCACACTCGGTTAGGTCCAATAAAGCCAAACCCTGACCCCTGACCTCTGACCCTGACCCCTGACCCTGACGTTTGACCCCTGACCTCTGACCCCTGTCCTCTCCGGTCTGACACGTGTTTGTTTGGATCCGAGTCGTGGGTTTGGTGTTTGCACTCGGGGATCAGACTTTAGACGTCAGTTGTGTAAAAGTTCAGCTCTTTGTGAGTTTGGGCAGAGTCCAGACTCAGATCTGAACGTCAAATAAAACTCGACTAGAGACGAAAAACAAACGACTGAAACACACATGTGTTTTTTAGATGAATCCAAAGCATCTGACAGGATGAATCACCAGAAACTATTTATGAAGATGATTCAAAAGGATGTGCCCAAATACAGTCCCTGACAAAAGTCCTGTTGTTTATCCATTTTGTAGAAACAAAAGCTTATAACCTGATTTTAAATTAATCGATTGGTTTTAGAAATGTCTCATATGAAGCTAAAACCCTCCCAAATTATGATCAATAAACTAAAATAAATGTTCTTCACTGAAGAAAGATTGATCATTTAATGAACACAGAAAGGTCAGATTTTGACAGACAAAAGTCTTGTGGCCTTGTCATATGATGCACCAATCCTAGATTACAGCCTCACCTGTGATCAGTTACTGATCAATCAGTTAGTGTTTGTGTATAAAAAGAACCCAGCAGAACCAGACCTTCACATCAACTGCAACTTGACCTCTGACAACATGCCTCAGATCCACCCTGAGACCAAAGCCTTAATTATCAAGAGGCTGAAGACCAGATCCACTGCTGAGGTGGTGACACCTTCAATGTGTCTCAGCGTCAAGTACAAAGAAGAAGAAAAAGATCTGAAATGACTGGAGATGTTTTTGACAAGCCCAGGTCCAGCAGACGCCGCAAGACAACTGCTCTGGAGGAAAATCCAAGGCCCCTTTTCCACTGCAGCAGACTCCACCAGGTCTGGTCACCTCAAGTCCCAAAATCTGACCTTTCTGTGTTCATTAAATGATCAATGTTTCTTCAGTGAAGCAAATTTATTGTAGTATATTGAACATAATTTGGGAGGGTTTTATCTTTCATATGAGACATTTCTAAAACCAATCGATTAATTGAAAGTCAAGTTATAAACTTTTGTTTCTATAAAATGGATAAACAACAAGACTTTTGTCAGGGACTGTACATTGTGTATTTTTTGATGTAGTGTATGAAAAGCAGACGGTGCAGATTAAACGGGGAAACAGTGTGTCGGCCCCGTTTAGGTTCAGCAATGGGGTCAGACGGGAGGATTCTGTCCCCAGTTTTATTTAATTTGTATTTAGATGAATTGTCAACAAAGATTAAACATCTAAAACTGGTTGTGTGGCTGGAAATCTTGTTGTGAATCATTTCATGTTTGCAGATGATTTGGTTATTTTCAGTCTGAGCACCTCTGGTCTCCAGCAGCTCCTCAACTTCTGTTCATCTCACGGTGTGGAGCAGGATTTAAAGTATAAAACAACCAAGAGTCTGGTCATGACCTGTAGGACCAGAGAAGATAAACACATGGGATTTCGTGACTTTTGACTGACAAATGTTGTGTTGTCTGTTAGAACAAAAATGAGGACAGATGATGATGATGATGATGATGATGATGATGATGATGATGATGACAGTGTAGACGCTCTGTGCTCAGGCAAATCCTCTTCTGTGTAAGTTTGGTTCTTGTACAAATGATGTCAAGTTGTTCTTGTTTAAATCATATTGTTCACTGTTGCACATTTCACCTCTGGACTCATTATAAAAAAGCCAGTTTGCACAGACTGCAGGTGTTTCCACTGAGGCTTTACGGAGCTTTTGAGGAGCCACGATGGACGAGTACGACTGAGATGTTTGTTTCTGCACGAGTGAAAACTTTACAAGCTGCAGACTTTTAATGAACAGTTTTATCTGCAGACTGAACAAATCAGACAATTAAATAATAATGTCGCTCACAAATCTGAGATTCAGTGCAATAAGATCAAAGTCCAACATGTGGAGACTCTGGTGAGGTTCTTTTAAAAACATGAACGTTTATTGTTTTGTTTTGTCACTGTCCTTGTCTGTTTTTTAAATGGACCATGAGTCCAGAATAAAGATGATGATGATGATGATGACAAAACAGACATTTATTCAGCTTTAAAATCAGAATAAAACACCGACACCAGGAGCTCGAGGAAAGATCTCACGACCTGAACACACCTCAGGAGACTGAACCAGGAGGACGTGACAGCACGTTCTTAAAGATCAATTTTATTCTTTGATTTTGAGTTTACAGATTTAAGAACAAAAAAAAATACATAAAAAGTTGTGTTTGTTCAAAACAGAAACTGAACAGAACCAAAAAGAGAAAAAGAGAGAAAACTGAGAAACTGGTTTAAGGGTCTGGAGGTCCTGGACTCTTGGACTCTTGGACTCTTGGACGCTGGGACTTTGGTCTTGGGGAGTTTGAGCGAGAGGAAGAGCGTCTCAGTCGAATCGCTCGTACTGAGACGTCTGACGAACTCGAGGAATCATGTCCAACAACAACCTGAGAGAAAAGAGAAGAAGAAGAAAAGAGAAAAGAGAAGAGAAGAAGAGAAGAGAGACAGAGGGAAGAAGAAGAGAAAGATAAACATAAGTTAAAGTTAAAAAGCGACACATGAACCTTAAACCTGAACAAGACTAAACCACAAACACACAACATCTGTGTGTGTGTTGTCTGTATGTTGTGTGTTATGTTTTGTGTGTGTGTTGTGTGTATTGTGTATTGTGTGTTGTGTGTGTTGTGTGTGTTGTGTGTTGTGTGTTGCTGTGTGTGTTGTGTTGTGTGTTGTGTTGTGTGTGTGTCTGTGTGTGTTGTGTTGTGTTTTGTGTGTTGTGTGTGTGTGTGTGTGTGTGTGTGTGTGTGTGTGTGTGTGTGTTGTGTGTGTTGTTGTGTGTGTGTGTTGTGTGTGTGTGTGTGTGTGTGTGTGTGTGTGTGTTGTGTGTTGTGTGTGTGTGTGTGTGTGTTGTGTTTTGTGTTGTGTGTGTGTGTCTGTGTGTGTGTTGTGTTGTGTTTGTGTGTTGTGTGTGTGTTGTGTGTGTGTGTGTGTGTTTTGTGTGTGTGTGTGTTGTGTGTGTGTGTGTGTGTTGTGTGTCTGTGTGTGTTGTGTTGTGTGTTTGGTACTTGATGCCGTAGGTGAGGATGACGACGCTGATCAAGACGCCGAAGGTTCCGTCCAAAAACCAAACGTCCGGATGATTCCGGAAAACGAGAGCAGCGAGAAGAATCGAGAAGCCCATGAGCGCCCCCACCAACGAGTTAAAACCTACACACAACACAACACACACAACACAACACAACGCACAACACATGAACGCCCTGAGTTGCTTGTATTGTGATGTCAGTGTGTGCACATGTTCGAAGTGTTTAACATTAAATATAAAATCACGTGTTAAATATTCATCACAAATATTTTCAAGCCTCAAACTGAACAGCTCAAATTAATGTTTCAGTGATTAAACTGAAACTTCACGAGTGGAAATCATCAACTCCACCGTCGTTTATGAACTGTCTGAATGAAAAGAGCTGAAAATAAACATCATCAACAAAATCAGGCAAAATCAGCAAAATCAAAATCAGGCAAAATCAGCTAAATCAAAATCAGGCAAAATCTAAATCAGGCAAAATCTAAATCAGGCAAAATCATGCAAAATCAAAATCAGGCAAAAACAAAATCAGGCAAAATCAAAATCAGGCAAAATCATGCAAAATCTAAATCTGGCACAATCAAAATCAGGCAAAATCAAAATCTGTCAAAATCAGCTAAATCAAAATCAGGCAAAATCAAAATCAGGTGAAATCAGCTAAATCAAAATCAGGCAAAATCAAAATCAGGCAAAATCATGCAAAATCAAAATCAGGCACAATCAAAATCAGGCAAAATTAAAATCAGGCAAAATCAGGAACTGGACTCATACTTCAAAATCTGCTCCACATTTGTGACTTCAGTAAGTTCAAGTTTTTATTCTCTGTTTTTAGACTTTTTACACAATTTTACATTTGAAGGATTGAAAATATTTGTGCTGAATATTCAAAAGGAATTTTTTTTTTTTTTTTTTTTGAAACACTTTGAAAAAGTTCACCTAAAAGTGTTGAGTTCAGCAGGATTTAAATGTCTAAATCTGATGATGTTCTTGAGTTTTTACACTCCGGTGTGTGGTGTGAGGAAAGATGGCAATGTGTTGTCGTGGCAGCGTGTCGTGGTGGGCGTGTCGTCATGTCATCATGTTGTCATGGCGGTGTGTTGTCATGGTTACCGTCGGTGATGAGGGCGCGACTCGTCAGAACTCGACCCAGGAACATTTTGAATACGGCCAAAACAGAACAGAGCGCCCCACTGAGGACAGAGACGCACAACAGGAAGTCATCCTGAAACACACAACACACAACATGTGACGCACAATACACACACACTGTACACACACAAGCACACACAGACACTACACACACTACACATACATACAAACATACACACACACACACACACACTACACATACAAACATACACACACACTATACACACACAAGCACACACAGACATACACACACTACACATACAAACATACAGACACACTTCACACACCATACACACACTACACATACAAACGTA